TGCATGGATTATTTTTTTGACACCGAGAGTACAATAAATCTCATCGAATATCCTAATAAAAGCAAGCAAAGAATTAAAATGAACGCTTTCGGACACCGAATACGCAATTAAAAAAAGAATCGCTTTCGATATGAAAGTTAGGAATCGAAATACGGTTACTAACTCGTTAGTGAAATATTAAATAGCCTTTAACACTAGTAATAAATAAAAACCTAGGCTGCCTAATCTTGGATGTATCGACGAAAAATGCCTTGCGACATCTTTAATTTAACATTATGAATGACTAAACCAATGGCATGACTTGTGTACAACTTTAGTCATTCCTTCGGTGAGTTTCAAAGGCAAAAGCCCAAATAAAACGCATATGTGGTTTACTATCCTCTTATTGTAAGGCCCAAATGAAACACTTTACTTCTATATTTTCATCCTTAATTAATGATGATCATTATACGCCTCATTTTGTCATTAGCTTTCTCAGTATTGCAGTAAAATTAAGAGATTATTCTAGGCTATTTCATCCTTCTGACCCATTTGTCATGTGTTTCATACTCGTTTATTTCGCTTGAGAAGAGGCCTTAATTGTAGTAAAAACGATTGGCGTTGACAACATTGTTTATCAGTTATACTTTTTTTTTAGCATTATCATTTTGATGAGATTCCGTGTATTTGCAATTTGCATCACTATCACCCTGTAAATTATAAACATTATAAACTGGTATTCAAAATAATAGTTACGCAATATTATTTCAAAATATATCTTTTAAATATAATTTAAGTAATAATCTTAAGACCAATATTTAAATCACTAACAAAGAAAGTGTACCGTGAAGTCAACTTATTGATGGTGGCCATTGAGGGTGACTTTCTTCTTCTTTTCTTTTTTTTTAATTAAAATGAAACACAGTATAGACGTCGCTGCTATTGATATCCATGATATGTTCCTAGGATAAACCCAATCAACATGTCAAAGTTCAATGAATGTCATAAGAAGTGTAATTCACAAAGTGTACTGATATATGCTTGGAAAAAAACAAGGAATAATCAATCATCTAAACTATATATCCCCTAAAATATAAATGCATAAATCCTAATTGAAAAATATTAAAACTAAATAGATGTGACTACTTTTTCTTGTAAAATATTTCCTATATAAACTGTTATTCATTCGGAAAATAGTACTCCCTCTGTTATATCAAAATAATTTACATTAAAATTTTGGTATTTGTACTAAAAATAATATAAAGTAAATTTTTTCCCATACATTGCATATGTTAAAATACAGTATTAAGTTGATACTTGGATGTAGAAATTTGAATTATGTTGTGGCACAAAACTTTATTGGGAAAATTTGCCTGCGAGGTAGTAGGGTCGAACAAATTAATAAAAGATGTATAATCATTAAATTATTTTTATTGATGGCAGTAAATTTCTTGTCGTAAATTCTAAAAACAAAACAATTTTATATTATAACATAACTAGCCTTTCCTTCTTTCAATGGAACAAAAATGTCAAATTTTTTTCACTCACCATTAAAATTCATACTCAATATTAATTATATCATTTCAAGAAAAGCTCAATCGGATAAATTAACAAAATTATTAAAAAAAAAACCTAATTACAACCATATTTGTGCAAATTAAGAATCTAACGTTCTCATTCACGCCCTTCGATAGAGAATAAACAAATTTGAAACTACTTTTGAGGTTAAACAGATGCAATTATAAGATTCAAATATTTGGGGCTAAAATTAGTTGTTGCTATTCTTGTTTACTTTATGAATAATTTAATTGTTTATTATTCCTTCAAACCACTCAGTACGAGATTAGATTGTTTCTAAATCATGTTAGAGATAATTTTTATCACTCCATTAACATATCTCCATTTTCGTTCTGATGCCCACCGCAAATAAATCTTTAATTTTGTTTCATTAGTTTCTATATAATTGTTCTTGTCATTAAAAATTTCAATTAAATAGTGTGAAAGGATTGGTTCTTACTCAGGTTTTGTTAATAATTTTGTCTAATAATCTAGTTGAGGTCATTTGGAAACTATTGAATTTGGAAAAGGAGCAAGAGAGCAAGAAACTATTGAAATTGTGAAACATTAGCATTTTTTTGTGCTGAAAAAAGTGACATAAGAGCGCAAATAATTATTAAAACTTTTTTCTCAAACAATGATTTTAGTAAAAGTTAATTTTTTTACGTATTTAGTTAAATTTTATTTCTTTTTTCTAATCGAAACTTTGTAGTATTGGCTTGATATATTTTAGGTAGGAAAACTTTTATGTATAGTGTGATATGTATATTTCATTTTTGCTTTGATAGTTGTTTTAAATAAAACTAGATGCTTGCCCCGGGCGAACGCCCGGGGTGCTGCCTGTATTTTTAAATCGATTAAATAAAAAATACAAATTATTCTTAAAAGAATAAAAAAATAGAAGAATAAAAAATTGATTAAAAGGACAGAAAGTGAGTTATTATACATAAATCTATACCCAAATTTATAATATTTAATTTACAACAGTTAACTTATGCTCGGGTTTACATAAATCATAAACCAAAATCTACAACAGAAAAATAAAAAAAAAATCCTCCTTAAAAAATCAAATTTCTTTCACGACAGCTTATTTTTTCTCTGTTGTAGAAAGAGGTGGATTGATAATTGATGTCAGATTTTAAGTAATTGATTTAAAGGCTCAGGTGGGAGAGAGGAGCGAAATGGAAGAGATTCTTTGAAATTGGGGATTGGGAAGACATTATTATGTTTCACTTAATTTAAGGGGATTTCTTTATATTTGATTTTATTAATTAAATATTGTTGCTTTAAAAGATTAGTATATACCTGTAATTAAGAGATTTTTATGTAGCTATAATTAAGGAATTTATGCATTTATCTATTCCATCTTTTTTTTTTTGATTAGTTAGAGTGCCACTTGTCAAAAATGATTTTGTACTGAAAATAATTTTTGGCGGGAAAATTTTCATTGTACACGCATCCTTTTTGTTTGCTGCTTTAATTAAGTACTATAGATGTAGACTTTCTTTTTCTTTTTGTAACCAAAACGACGTTTTTCTTTTAGGAAAGCATTTAATGAGATTGCGATACCTCACTAATTTTGCTGTCTTGGACTTTTGTTTGAATAGGGTATATTGGTTGATGATTTTTTTAATAATAAAAAGTAGATTTATTTATTTTTTAAAAAATAAAATGTAAATTTATTTTCAACCAAAATAACGTAGTATTGTTTTTTGAGGGAAAATATTTCATGAAAATGTGACACCTCATCACTTTTTCTCTCTTGGGCTTTTGTTATAATAAGATACTAGATGCTTGCCTCGGACAAATGCCCGGGGTGGCGCCTGTATTTTTAAATCGATTAAATGAAAAATACGAATCATTCTTAAAAGAATAAAAAAAATAGAAGAATAAAAAATCGATTGAAATGACAGGAAGTGAGTTATTACACATAAATCTATGCCCAGATTTACAACATTTAATTTACAACAGTTAACTTATGTCTGAGATTACATAAATCATAAACCAATATCTACAACAATAGAATTAAAAAAAATCATCCTTAAAAAATCAAATTTATTTCATGACAGCTTATTTTTTCTCTGTTGTAGAAAGAGATGGATTAATAATTGATGTCAGATTTTAAGTAATTGATTTAAAGGCCCAGTGCAAGAGAGGAGCGGAATGGAAGAAATCCTTTGAAATTGGGGATTGGAAAAACATTACTGGTGTTTCACTTGATTTAAGGGAATTCCCTTACATTTGATTTTATCAACTAAATATTGTTGTTTTAAGGGATTAGTATATACCTATAATTAAGAGATTTTTATATAGCTATAATTAAGAGATTTATGTATTTATCTATTCCATCTTTTTTTTTCTAATTAGTTAGAGTGCCACGTGTCAAAAATGATTTTGTACTGAAAATGACTTTTGGCGGGAAAATTTTCATTGTGATGCTGACACATGTCCTTTTTGTTTACTGCTTTAATTAAGTACTATATATATATATATTATTTCAAAAATTTAATGTGAACTGTTTTTTTAGTATAATGAGTACATGAGTTTTCTTCCCATTATATCATGATCACCGAAGTCTTTCTTATATGATGTAGCTTGCAATATGCAATATTAAATTTAGTACGCCCTGCGTAATGTGGGCCATAGGCATGTGGTAAAATTAACACCAATAATACTCAAAAACAAGTGGACATATGGAATATTGAAGTCAAACTATAAACATGTGGGGATAACACTAATAGTCTTTATTGAACCAATACATATGTTACTCCTTCTGTATTGAATAAATTCTTATGTTTGAGTACACCGGCATGACAAAAATATTGTTTGGACATCAAGTCATTTTACATTTTCACTCATTTTACCTCTTAAACATAAAATACAATGGAAACGAAAACATCATCCAAACAACTTTCTGATTTACATTTTTAAATTTCAACTTGAAACACTTTTTGTCAGTGTAATGACCATTTTAAAATTACAAATAGTTCAGTGACAAATTTGGCAGGATTCCGTTATTGAGCGATTGTTTTGTGAAAAGTTCTTTTTTACAGTGACTATAATTGATAATATTTAATTGTTTAGTGATGACTCATACTTGATATTTCAAAATGTAGTTCAAAATACTTTTTTTCAAAACCAACATCCAAATAATTTTTTGCTCAAAATACCATCCAAATAACATTTTTATTTCCCATTTAGTTTTTAATTTAAAACACTTTCCATTTTTAAATGGCAAAATGAAATGTAAGTTGACGTCCAAAGAAGCACTGAGTCTTTTGAGTTAATCTTCAAGGATAAACACGACTTTTCTTTCAGAAGATATAAAGAGATGGCTAGACATTTGAATTGAAACAAAAATATGAATTGTCTTTTTTTTTGGTCTTTTATGGCATCCACCATCAACAACAGAGACTCATCCCTTATGCTAAAATACACACATCTCGATGAGTGGTTAAGGTGATTGGATTTATACCCGTAGTGAGGTTGATGTGAACTGACACTACAAATTTTTTTTTTAAAAAAAAATAATAGGAAGGCATATATAGCTGGCCAATAGACAAAAGAAATCACAGTTGCTACCTTGCTACCCGGTACATTAAAGTAACGTACAATTTCAACTTCCAATTTTTATATGTGGATGATCAAATCTTTTATCAACCATCATCAATCAGGTCTTCTCTCTAGAAGAAAATCGATGGCTGGTTCCTGGTTTTCCCTCCTCTTTCTTCTTCTTCTCCCTTTGGTAGCCATTTCTCTCCTCCAAAAACACAAAAGATCAAAACCCTCAAAACGTCAAAATCCCCCTGGTCCTCCGAAGCTTCCATTAATTGGAAACTTGCACCAATTCGACGGTTTAAAACCTCATGAATGCCTAATGAAACTATCCCAAAAGTATGGCCCCCTCATGTCATTGAAACTCGGAAGAATTCCGGTCATCGTGATCTCGTCGGCGGAGATGGCGAAAGAAGCTCTCAAAAACAATGACCTTACATTTTCCAATAGGCCAATTTCAGTCGCTAACCAGAAATATTCTCGCAATGGCATAGACCTTGGCTTCGCACCTTATGGTGAGTATTGGAGGGAAATGAGGAAACTGACTGTTCTTCACCTCTTCAGCTTGAAGAAAGTTCAATCTTTTCGCCCGATTCATGAAGACGAAGTTGCCCAAGTAGTCAAACAAATATCCGATCTTTCTTCTTCATCTCAAATTATCGACATAGGGTCCACAATGGTGTCATTAAACAGCCGTACCATATGTCGAATCGCTTTCGGAAAGAAAGGAGATGAAAAAGATAAAGAAGAAAGTAAGGAGAAACCTAAGAGAAGAAGCGCGCACGAAATCCTTCAAGAGGCTGAGGCATTTTTAGGAGGGTTTTTCGTGGCCGATTATTTCCCTTCATTAGGTTGGATTGATAAGTTGACTGGAATGCTTCCTCGTCTAGATAAGAATTTCAAGGAATTGGATTCTTTCTACCAAGAACTTATTGAAGAGCAATTGGCCAAATCAGAAAGGAAAGAGTCCTTGAGTAATGACAATGTTCTTCAACTGTTGATCCAGCTCAAAGAAGACAAATCAATATCCACAGTTGACTTGACTTGGGATCACATCAAAGCAATTCTCACGGTAATAATATGTGCTCGATCTCTTTCTTTTATTCATGCTGATTAGCATCTTTAACTGTTTTACATTCCTCTTAAAACGATATCCGATTTTTTTTTTTTTGGTTTCGAATGACACTAATGGTTTTTTTTTTTTTTTGGTAAGAAGGTTAATAATTTTGTTACCAAAATAAATTTTAGTCCACTTCTAATTTTGGAATTAGCAACCACAACAAGAAGTAATTGTTGCAATGCACGGGTCACACTATATAGATTCAAGGGGGAAGAACACTAAATATATAGCAAAAGAAATAAAGATTCAATAACTATTATATATAGAGTATGTAGGGCTTGATTTGGATCGTTTTCTAAGATAAATGACAAAAAAAGCCGATCGGAGCACTACGTCAACAAACACATCTAGCTTGTTGATTTACTCAATAAGTAATATAGTTTGATTGGTAGACTTATCCAGCTGAAAATTTGTAATTAAAATCTCTTAGGCTTGCTGTCTTAAACATCTCTGCATTACTATAAACGTTGACTTTTAAAGTGCTGAAAATTACATTAACATGTACCTATCCTTGCTTAAAATTACAGTAATATAGTTTAATTGGTAGAGTTATTAAGCTTACAATTTGTAATTAAAATGTCCTAGCCTTGCTGTCTAAACATCTCATCCATCCTTTTCATCACTATAAACGTTGACTTTTAAGGTGCTGAAAATGACATTCACATGTACTTGCATGGCAGACCATATTTCTTGCCGCATCAACGTCAACTGCATCAGCAATCACATGGGCTATGACATGTCTTATGAAAAACCCATCCACCATGGAGATATTAAAAGCTGAAATCAGAGATTCTTTTCGGAGTAAAGGCAAAATAGAAGCAGAGCAATTGGAAAGCCTTCCTTATTTGAATGCAGTGATAAAAGAAACTCTTAGATTGCATCCTCCAGCTCCACTGTTAGTCCCAAGACAAACCATAGAAACTTGCACATTAGGAGGTTATGAAATCCAACCTAATGCCATGGTTTTCATCAATGCTTGGGCTATTTCAAGAGACCCCAAAATTTGGGAAAGTCCAAACGAGTTTAAGCCGGAGAGATTCTTTAACAATGATATTGATTTGATGAATGGACAACATTTTGAACTGATCCCATTTGGGTCTGGTCGCCGGGGCTGCCCTGGAGCCCATTTAGCACTCGCAATGGCCCAGCTTGTGCTTGCTAATCTTTTACATTTCTTTGATTGGGAGCTGCCATCTGGAATGAAGCCAGAAGATATTGATACTGCGGGTTTGCCTGGAATTAGTGTGCTTCCAAAAACCCCACTTTACTTGGTAGCCAAGAAATGTTCTTAATGAGTTGAGCAATACTCCTTCTGACAATGGTCCAGTTTGTTATAACAAATTGAATTATTTCTCAAACACGGAAGGAGTTGTTAACTTTAAACTCAATTGATATTTTGTGCTTTTTAGTCTTATGTAAATTTTAAGCGTTTCTTATCGTGTAATGGATCTCGATTTGTATCGTTTTTGTGAGGAACTTTTTTAGGGATATCTTGAATTTAATGGGTTTTTCTTATGTTTGTTTGTTTTACGATATTAGTGGAGTTTCTAACCCGAGGAACATCTTACTTTGATTTAATCTATGTCAACTTTTATCCTCCTTCATTTAAAAAAATAATAGTAACTCTTTTCTTATATTAATTAATTTAGTTACAAATCAAGATTAACCCCAATATTGTTTCTTTCCCATTCTGAAAGTCAACCTCAAAGGCTAACTGTTATAAGAAGTTGACTACTCCATATTCTTTTATTTATATGAATCATGATAGTGTTATTTAAATATTAGCCTAATTAGAATTATTTGATTTTATTGCATTGATAAAAGTAATGACAAAAAAAAAAAGCGTAGGAAAATGTTAAGGGGAAAAGATAAAAGTAAAGTGAGCACCATTTTGTGCTTTAACAAAAAATAAATGTTTTATTTATACATATAAACTTTTTTATCCTTTACATACGTATGAAGCATTTTTCATGAACATCGATGTTAAGTACCTTACCTTGATTCTGGTACATTCTGGATACAATACAGGTTATATTTTTAATTAGGGAAAAGGTAAAATAAAAGAACAAGCTTAGAATCAGTTTAGACTATGTTTTCTGCAAAAGCAAATCTTGTTTTGGATTTTATTTGATTTCGAGAAAGAGGGAATATTAATTTTCTCTTATTGTTAGGTCATCATGGCAAAGTAGATTTTGTTGAGTATCCCACATCGGTGGTGAGAGAGAGTTGATATCAATATATAACTATATGGGCTACCCCCTCATTGCCAATTGGTTTTGAGGTGAAACCCCATGGGCTTCTATATGGTATCAGAGCCAACCCGCCAAGAGTCGGACTCCAAGCCTGATATGATAGAACTGGTGGGGCTGAGACGTGAGGCGGTGACTTAGCTGACAAGCCCAACCCAAGAAGAGACGTTGGGCTTGCGGGGGAGTGTTGAGTATCCCACATTGGTGGTGAGAGAGAGTTGATATCAATATATAAGTATATGGGCTACCCCCCTCATTGCCAATTGGTTTTGAGGTGGAACCCCATGGGCTTCTATAGATTTAGCCAAAAAATGACCTGAATGCTAATGTACGACTTATATCAAACATCATTCTAAAACTGTTCCCAGTTTCTATAAGACGAACTCTTCCACATGGATGAGCTTCATTTTATTCGGTAACTGATAATTTCATTTCAATATCAAAACTGGAGTGATGAGCTTCTTTTTGGTCTGTATACTGTTACTTTGGGCATTTTATTACTCAAAAGTTGTGTACACAAAACATTTTCAAACTCCATATCATGGATTTAGTTGTGTACCCTTGGGGTCCACTCTTAAACCATAAATATCTTTGTAAGAAAAGTATTAGTATAGCATGAAGCAATGATCATTCACATGTCTTCCAGGGCCAAGAACCTTTCCTGAATTGGCAACTTGTATTACACAATTTATTTAATTATTTGCAGAATCTGCAACTTGCAACTTCAAACACCCTTCTGCCGTACATAATTAGTTTACGGCAAGAATCACACGAGAAATGGTAACCACCTTCTCGGACGAATTTAGAGGATGCAGATATTTATCGCATTCAAGGGTGCCACCAAAAATGCAATTCCGGTACAGGACACTTGGGATACATCGTGGATGAAAAGATCGTTTGCATTCTTTACAATAGTAATGCCATCGTCTAGGATGAATTTCTTCTTCGCAAATCTCGCAATAGAATTTTTCAGGATGCTTATATCATTTATGCTCGACACTCCCCGGTAGCATGAGGCATTCATGATCACAAATAGAAATAGCAACCCGAACAGGAGTAAAACAACCGCGGAAGATTTTTGCCACAGGGCCAACATTTCGATCTAGTTGGTGCTTCATCATTTCACACAAGAGGGTCTTGTTGTGCTTCTTCATGCATCGAATTATCGCTTCGTACAGGAAGGGGTTGGTATGCTTGATGATGGTTTCGTAGAAGAGGGTGTTTGTGTGCTTTATGAATCAATCCCCAGCGGAATAAAGCAAAACTTTACATCCATTTGGTACTTTGTTGAAGACAACACTTTGTGAAAGTAGTTTATATCCATTTGGTATTCTGTTGAAGAGAGCTCTTTCCATATGTTTTCCAGAAATGACAGGTTGAGTGTATGTGTCAATCTGTTGTGGCGGAAAGGGTATAAACAAAATACACTACAGAAGCGAACCCCAAGAAAAACTCCTTTCCTACTACCAATAAAATAGGACAACCAACCAAATAAGCAACTAATTCAAGAACTGATAAAATAAAAGAGGCACACGAATTTAGGTGGAAACCCAAATCGGGAAAAACCACGGGACTTTAACAACAGTCAAATCTCTACTATCACAATAATGGGAAAACAGTCTTCACCAACTGGTGGATACACAGGACTTCACCCAAAGGTGGATTACAACAATATACCTCCACACACACCTATCACAAAGTAGGACTGGAAAGATCTAACTAAAAGAGAACTAAACCGAAAACTAAACCCTAGCTTTCTTTCTTTTTTCTCTCGTACAAAAACAATGCACGGCTGCCCAAACTTTTCTTCTCTTCTTGGCTGAAAACACACAAAACCAAGGAGTGTTGCCTTGCTTTTATAAGCCACGGCCAAGACAAACCAAAAACCAAATTGGATTGGTTTTTGTCTTTCTCGGTCAACCACCACTCAAAGTGGTTTGGGTTTGGGCCAAATTGAGGGGAACAACCCAACAATCTCCCCCCTTCACCTCAATTGGGGGGTAAAACCAAACCCGCTTCCTGTCTACAGAACAGAAGCTTCTCTCTACTCACAGTCTTCGTCAACATATCGGCACCATTGTCATCCGTATAGATCTTCTCAAGAAACAACGCCTTGGAGTCCAACACATCCCGGATCCAATGATATCTCACGTCAATATGGTTTGACCGCGAATGAAATGTGGAATTTTTCGCTAAGTGAATAGCGCTCTGGCTATCACAATGCACCACATACTTCTCCTGCTTCATGCCAAGCTCTTGTAGAAACTTCTGCAACCAAAGTGCTTCCTTACAAAATTCAGTAGCTGCGATAAACTCTGCCTCTGTAGTAGACAAAGCAACATACTTCTGCAACCTACTCTGCCATGAAATTGCTCCCCCTCCATAAGTCATCAAGTAACCAGAAGTAGACTTTCGACCATCTAGGTCACCCGCCATGTCAGCATCTGTATATCCATCTAACATGGTCTTCCCATTGCCAAAGCAAAGACTCAATCTGAAAGTACCCCTAAGATACCGAGAATCCATTTCACAGCATTCCAATGCTCCTTACCAGGGTTGGAGAGAAACCGACTAACAACACCAACTGCATGAGCTATGTCTGGCCTTGTGCAAACTATCGCATACATCAGGCTGCCAACTGCCAAAGCACAAGGAACCTTTTTCATCTCTTCCTTATCTTTCTCACTTTTAGGACACTGTGTTTTGCTTAGCTTAAAATGCCATGCAAATGGAGTCGAGACTTCCTTAGCACCGCTCATGTTAAATCTATCAAGAACCTTCTTGATATACTTCTCTTGAGATACCCAAAGCTTCCCATTCTGTCTATTACGAGAAATCTTCATCCCAAGGATCTGTCTAGCCGGACCCAAATCCTTCATCACAAAGGATTTATTCAACTCCTCTGGAAATCTTTGCAGTGTCATGACCAACAATCAACATGTCATCGACATAAAGCAAAAGAATTATAAAATCACCATCAGGGAATTTCTTCACAAACACACAGTGATCAGCCGTAGTCCTTTGGTATCCCTGCCCTATCATAAAGGCATCAAACTTTTTGTACCATTGCCTTGAAGCTTGCTTCAACCCATACAAGCTTTTGTTGAGATGACATACAAGCTTCTTTTTCCCCTTCTCCTGAAACCCATCTGGTTGCTCCATGTAAATCTCTTCTTCCAAATCACCATGCAGGAAGGCTGTCTTCACATCAAGCTGTTCAATCTCAAGATTCAAGCTGGCTGCTATCCCAAGCACAACTCGGATCAAAGACATCTTTACAACAGGAGAGAATATCTCATCAAAGTCTACGCCCTTTCTCTGATTGAATCCCTTCACAACCAATCTGGCTTTGTACCTCGGTTGTGAGGCTGTTCTCACTTGTTTTTAGTCTAAACACCCATTTATTCTTGAGTGCTCTCTTGCCCTTAGGCAGGTTCACCAGGTCATACGTGTTATTCTCATGCAAGGATTTGATCTCATCTTGCATGGCTGCTAACCACTGATCTTTCTGCTCATGACTAAAAACCTCTTCATACGACTCTGGCTCTCCCCCATCAGTAAGCAACAAATACTCATGAGCACTGTACCTAGTGGAAGGTCTCTTGTCTCTGGTGGACCTCCTAGGTTGAACAGGAGGAGATGAAACCGGTGGTGTCTCTGTTTCAGTAACAGGATCATCATTAAACTCACCATCCTGCTCTGTCTCAGCTCCCCCTTCAGGAGAATCATCTTTTTATCAGTCATATCACTTGGCCTACCTTCATCCCCTAGAACAGGATCAAACAAATCTTTACAATACAACAAGTCTTCCATTCTAGGCTTCCACATATGATAACTGGATGAAGTCAATTTAATCATCGTACCAGTACCCGATGACTCTTCCATTTTATTGGTGTAATACCTCAACTACCGAACCGTAGCTCTGATGCCACAGTTGTGGCGGAAAGGGTATAAACACAACACACTACGGAAGCGAAACCCAAGAAAAACTCCTTTCCTACTACCAATAAAATAGGACAACCAAACAAACAAGCAACTAATTCAAGAACTGATAAAATAAAGGAGGCACACGAATTTAGGTGGAAACCCAAATCGGGAAAACCACGGGACTGTAACAACAGTCAAATCTCCACTATTACAATAATGGGAAAACAGTCTTCACCAACCGGTGGATACACAGGATTTCACCCAAAGGTGGATTACAACAATATTCTTCCACACACACCTATCACAAAGTAGGACTGGAAGGATCTAACCAAAAGAGAGCTAAACCGAAAACTAAACCCTAGCTTTCTTTTTTTTTTCTCT